CCAGTACGCACAGTTATGAAAAGGTCTCCTATACTAGCCCCTACCAGGCTTCAAATATTTCAAGACCCAGTACGCACAGTTATGAAAAGGTCTCCTATACTAGCCTCTACCAGGCTTCGGGAGGCGGCTGGAAAGAGTAGAAATCGGCCAAATAGAGAGACAAGCATGCCAAGGGAGTTTGTCCGTTGAGAGAACATTTCGCCGCACCCCAAGCCAGTGCGGGGTCGCCATTTCTTTGAAGTCCACTAGTATAGGAGACCTTTTCATGATTTGGCAAAGGGTCGGTTATGCGTTGGGAGGGACGTTGCAAATTCAATACAGAAGAACTTTATTGCACGGCAATTGCATATGGTACAATGTATGGCAAGGTACAAAAAAGGATAGAATGAAACCTAATTACTCAAACAACAAGGGCTAACACAAGTCTGTCTTTGATATAGTGTTACAATCGAGTGGGGGCTAATCACGAGTTTCGGTATTTTATCTAATAACAAAGCAGTTTTTAGTTACCATGGTGACAGCCGTCTGATCCAGGTCATTTACCGTATGTGTTTGGAGAAGAGGAAACTGCGCAAAAACAATCTTCTGCGAAGGTAAACATGATGAAATGCGAAATTCACGAAAACTCTAAATATTCCTCTGTGGTACAGGATCTTTGATGTCTTTTTCCTTTTTGACCTGTTTTTTTTCTCCCGGACTAGGGTTATCGTTACTGCAGAAAGCAGCAGAAGTGGAGCAGGTACGGCTGGGAGACGGTGGAGGTGTGTAAGGACTGTTCCGTCACCAGGTTCAAGATCAAGTACTCCAGTAACGGCAAGTTCTGGGTCACCTACAGGGACCCCGAAACTTGGCATGACATGGTGAGTTAGTGGGGCGCATTGGTTCTTTTGAAATAATCATTATTGAAGTACATTAATAATGATGACGGTAAATTTGACATTGACTACTTATGCAAAATATAATGATTATCAGAAAGACACTTGACATTGGATGTATTAGATTTGTAAGAATATTCAGAAATTTGTCATTTCTTGTAAAAATGTAAGAGGAAAAAAACATTATCAAAGACTTACTTTTCCTGCAATACCTAATAAAACCATTGCACTGGGCAAGTAGCCATATACATTTTGTATTTGTGTACATTTTGCAAACATATTTCCAAAGTAGATTCTGAATAATTTAGAACAATCGCTATAAACTGCAAGTCAACTGACCAAATGATGTATGTAAAACAACGGCATTTATTTATCACTTTGGCACAGTAGAATGCATCTATGCATATTTCTCCAGATATTTGACGGCGGCATCAATGCTGTAGCCACTTGGAAGTTGAACACGCTGCCATATCCGGTCGCCACTCGCTACATCCGCTTCTACCCTGTCCGCTGGCAAAATGCCGTCGCCATGAGAGTTGAGGTTATGGGGTGCAGACTGTCATGTGAGTTTTTTGTTTTTAGTATACAAAGTATACAATGGTTCGGAAGTATACAATGATTTCTGATTTGAAAATACAGTATAGATCTATTGATGTGTATTTATCATTGTTTGCTGTTATTACACCAGTTCTTAAATATGACATTCTTTTTTTTTTTTTTTTTTTTCATCTCTGTTCTTTATTGAGTA